TGATGTATACTTCATAACATGCCATGATAAGGATGTGAAATTAAGAATCTACCATATTCAAAGCATATGGTAAAGAATGACTATTTGCAACATCCTTCACATACCTCTAAAAATGTATTCCTAATGGCATAAGTGTCTTATGTTCAATTAGTAAAGAATAAGAATTATTTACTGGCTAGAAATATTTGTAAATGTTACCAGTTATAAGATATGTTTGACAGTGAATGGCACTTTTGAAACTGAGAAACAAAACAGACAATATACAAATAGCTCTTCATAGTCTTTAGTTTACTAAAATAACTTCTCTAAATACTTAAAACTGCTCTATGTGCAGATGTTAGCACCTACATATATAAACAGCTTATTCATGTAAAAAAGTACAGTACTTACACAAATCCTATGCAAAAGCTCTTCCCAACGGTGATTAAGCTGAACTAGTTGTGGTTCTATAATGGCCTTGAGTTCTTGTTGATGCCATTGAACTGTCATTAAGTCCAGGGCTGTGTCTTTCAGGGCATCCACATCACCTTTATGTGCATACATAGAATTCTGCAACACCTGAACATTAATTTTACTTCTGTTTATTGCAGACACAAATCAACTGTTATCAGAGTTAATATACAGTAAAAATATACACTCCATAAAATAATATAATGTTGACAAACATAAATGACAATAAAAATATGACTCCTTCATTTCATTAAATACATGCAATATCAAAAATTGTTTCTGACATAAGTTATAAATCTTAATGAAATATATAAACACTTCATTTAACTGACTTCAGATTTAATGGACAGCATCTGGTGTTGTCAAATTTCTTTAAGGGTGTAAGGCATTAGTGGACATTTTTGGTGTTAATGGACTGCATCCGTTTTAACCGAAAGTGTCCACTAATGACCATTGGATTTTTGGTTTTATCTTAATTATCTCTTTACACTGTAGTGTTTTAATTAATCTAGAGTAATTGTAGGTGCCCATTTTATTTGACAAATCTGTTTAATGGTGTTCCTAAAGGAAATGATCATCTAAGGATCATAAAAGCAACTGTGAAATTTAATGGACAATCAGCATTGCTGCAAATTCTTTCCCCCCTATTAGCCTGTTAAATTTAGGGTTTACTCTGTTTTATGTCACCTTTTATATCCTTTCTACAATGAGTTTCTTCTGACAAATTTGATAAGGTTCAATTTGATGTATGTTAAGGGTACAGTGGACCACACCTGAATGAACTGGACTTTTTCCTACAACTTTAAGAGTCATACAGACTTCCAAAATCAACTAACTAACTAAATGGCTTACAGAATCCAAAGGTTCATCACCGAATTAATTAAAAAGCCCTCCACCAGACCCTGTCCTGGGCAAACAAAGTCCAGTCTCCTTCAACTACTATCTCCCACAGTTCATGCTTGATACTATCCTCCCATCTATGTCTAGGTCTCCCCAGCTGTCTCTTTCCTTCAGGCTTCCTGGACAATACCCGGTGCACACCTCTTGTCCCATCCATGCATGACACAAGCCATATCCATCTCACTCTTCTTGACTTAATCCCCCTGACAATATTCAGGGAGGAGTCAAATTTTTAAGCTCATCATTATGCAGTTTTTCTATTACTCATTCTCTTCTCTCCTAGCCCCAAATATCCTCCTCAACACCCTATTCTCAAACACCTGCAATCTATGTTCCTCCCTCAGAGTGAGCGACCATGTTTCACACCCATACAAAACAACAGGCAGAATTATTGCTTTGTATATTTGAATCTTTAGATTCTTAGAAATCAGATGGGAATACAAAATATTTTTAACTGAGAAGTATCGAGCGTTTCCAGATTTTAGACTCCTCCTAACTACCTCTCGAACTTCATTTTGATTTGTTATTGTTGTTTCCAAATATTTGAACTTTGTCACACTTTCAAAGGATTTATTAGCCACCCTAATAAGATTTTGTCCACCTGTTTGCTGATGGGATAATAACATGTACTTAGTTTTTACTGAATTTACTTCTATACCCACCTTTCTACTAGCTTCTAGTAAAACTTCTGTGTTCCTCTTTATTGTCTTCCAAAATCAATCTTCATGAAAATTCATTTAATCAATTAAATGGAACATATGAATAAACTAACAGGCCCACTTGCCACATTATGCACTGATTTTATGCATTTTGTGTAAAGAGTGCATAACAAATAAAACTGCATTCATTACAGTTGTTTTCCTCAAAATCATCCTATCTCCAAATGCTTAATTCACTTATACACATCATGCACACAATAAATACATTTTTTCATATATTTATATATATTGCATAATTTCAAGCAATCAGATATCAAATAGAAAAGAAAAAAAGAGCAATGGTCAGAATAAGGACTCACAGGGTAAAGGAGAGATGCAAACTTTGCAAATTATCACAATATGCATGAAATGTTATTTTTATAACTTCACTTTCCATATCGACTACGACAAATGCTCACTGTACACAATTAAAAATCTGGAAAGATAAGAACTGCCTGAAGAATCAAACAGCAAGTAATTAACTTTATTTCATGTTACAATTTGTACTGCAATAATTATAAATTTGTATGTGTTCTAGAGTACTAACAATTTACATTTCATTCGCAAAAGACAGACATCTGTGCTTGTGTACTAACTGTGAGAATTCATACTTTAAACAGCACTGATGTAAACCTTGGATCAAACACGACTTCTACATTCTAGTGATACGAAACAAACATGGAATTTAAACACCATGGCAGTAATATATCTCCAATCTAGGACATGACAACATATACATGTAGACATATCAAAAAACAGTTACAAATTAGCAGCATGTTGCTCAATAGCACAGTCTTGTCATGTAATGTTTATCCAGTGCTTTGTGTTTTTAATGGGTCCAAAGCTCTTACAAATGTTATACAAATTAATCTAACAGGTCTGCTCAATCACATTTCAGAAAATTGTTTATTCTACGTGTACTGGTATTTTATACTCACCTTGTATTCTGAAATATGTTTCTCTGAAAGCTGATCTACAGCAAGAGCATCCAGTTCATGGACACTTTTCTCTATCTCATTCAACCATTGATTTATTTCTGCCATTGAACAGTTGACTTGCTCAAGTTTGCTTTTAGCTGCAGTTGCATTCTCCTTAACATGAAAAGCAAAGAAGCAAACATATGATTATCTACAAACTATTTGCTTTTATTTGACTCTGGCCCCTTCTCACTTGAGATATGTACTTACCAGCACGGCAGACACGTTCTTCAACCTTCCATTCAATTTCTCCCATTTCTTCATGCTGTCATTCACCCTTTCTTTTAATACTTCCAAATAAACAGGATCACAGAGGCCAGAAAATATTTTATATGATGATTTTATACTCTCTTTCTTCAGATTCCACTTTGGAATATCCTCCTCTAATATTTTCTGTCAACAAAGGAGAATCACATGAAATTTCAAGCCACAAAAGCTAACAAGAAGTCAAAGGAAATAAAAACCATACCTTCAGATATGCGACTTGTAAATCCAAATTTGTATCAATTCCTCCTGTGGCTTCAAATTCATCTAGCTGGACTTCAACATTGTTAATCCATTCATTCAAAGCTGGAATATCTCTCTGCAAGTTCTGTGACAGTCCTAAAGCTGAGTTTAATGTAACTTTAGCATCTGTTATTTGAGAACCCAGCTAGAAAAATAAACAAAACAATGTGAAAATGATGCTCAACATTACACAAAATCTTCACGAAACACCAGCATAAGAAAATGTCTATAATGAAAATATTCTGTTAAATTGTTCTCTTAGGCTTTGTCCACTGTCCAAACAACAAAATAATAACATTACATTGTTCCAGAACCTGAAATCTGCTTCCATTGCCAGGTAAAAATGGAAGAGGACAGAAACCTTGTATGTTGGGCCCCTGGTTCAGCTAGCCTCCCTACAACAGCAAAATTCCATCCCATAAGATGCTTACTTATGCATATTATTACAACACAAGCTCTTACCTTGTTATACAGTTCCTTCAAAGTGTCAATCCTGGTCGTGAACTTCTGAGGGTCTGGAACAGCTTTATCTTCCACCAGCTTTCGACCTGATTTAATTATGCTCTCCACTTCTCCCTTTATATCAGCAAGTGTGTGATAAAATCTCTGTAAAGTAAAGTTATCATATGACCACTGAAATTAAACACTTGCCTTACAAAGTTTTTCAAATGTCACTTCAGTTCAGTTTTGTTAACTTTAAATGTATAGTAATGCAAGTGAGTCATTCTTAAAACACTTCATGATACATGAAAATCTTCTGCACATGAACTGCTCCATTATTATCCCAAGTTATCTCAGACTCTGCTTAGATGTTTTTTTACATGGCTGGCCTGAATTCTTTACTTCCACCCACTGTGTAAATTGTACGTCTTAATATGAGCCTACAATTTTCACTACATACACAGATATCCCACTTCCAGGCTAACAAACAGAAATGTCTTCCATATCACCACCATAACTTTCACAGTCGCTTTCACGTGCCTTAACCAAAAAATAATATGCACATCATGACTGTGATCACAACTGCTTGCAAAAACAAAAATACATGTATAATATGAAAGATAAGAATACAAGAAATCTGCCAGATGTAGTATATCAGTAAACTACTTATTACTAACTCCATCTAGCATTAAGCAGCTCAAATTATTGCTATGAATGAAATAAAGTTGGGTGGGGTGCAAACCACATCTCACTATAAAAATTAGCATGTCACAAAATGTTAAAAAAACCTCAATGAGGATATGGAACAGCACTAATGGGTTTGTTCTTATCTGTACTTTTCATCACAAGAAAGGAAATTACTCTGAGTTGAGATTTTATGTTCTCACAATGAGTACATGAGCTTGCTACCTTCATCAGCATTGTAATAAGTATGTCATCACCCTGATGCATGCTCCTCTGAAACACTGGTCAATATCTACCGGACAACACATTTGCAACATCTCTGAAGGTCAGCCATCTTCTTGCTCTGAGTTCTTATGGTACTTATACATTCACAAAGAATATATATTCTAAAATATGTGAGAAAAACAAACTGAGAAATGATGGTACTTAAATTAATGTCCCCCTGGCTTCTCTATGAATTTCAACAAACACACTGGTGTATGTAAACTAAGTGCCCTGGATAATCAAGTCCATAATAATATAGATCTGCTCATGATTGTGCTCTGTATCACAATTTTCTGTTTTCATACCGTGCAATGCTTAAGTTGTCCTTCAATCCCTTCTGGATCATCAGAAGCAAGTTCCAACAGGCAAGTTGCCTCCTCCACACCTCTCAGTTCTCTCAAAGCTCTTGCAAGCCGGGGCTCTAAGTTCGATGGGGATCGGAATCTCTGGAACTTGAGCTGGACTTCTGAGAAGCGCTTCTGCAAAACATAATAATGCATGCCATTATAACAACCTATCAAGGTTCTCAAATTTGTAAACATGGTTATCCTCTCCTACTGCTGGGTCCTCTCCTCATGCAGAGTAGTGGCAAAATCTCTTAGGAGCTCTGGTGAAGGGTCTGCTGAGGGTGAGGCTAAAACAGGTATCTTGAACCTGACCATCAAGAAGAAGAATCAGGCTGGCTTGCATTATGAAAGGGGCAGAAAGAGGAAAGGTTTCCTTGGTCAATGTGGGATTCAGAGTGAGGATGCAGATACCTTGGATAAAGGGGGGTCAAGAATGTATAATTTGAGGTTTTCAAGGCGGTGAGTATGACGATTTCTGTCTTCTGGATTGTTGCGCTGTGTAGTCTGGTAGATGTTTACCAACGTTTCAGAGGTCATACTCCATTCATGGTCCGGCTCCTATAAACTTATCACCACTCACCCAACTAGCACATTCATCACCCTGATGACAGAGGCAGTATGACCTCTGAAACGTTGGTAAACATCTACCAGGCTACACAGCGCAACAACCCAGAAGACAGAAATCTTCAGGTGTCAATAAGTTTATTCCCTGGTCCCAAACCAGCTATTCAGTCTCACCAAGTGTTGGAAGGCTCATGGTTATAGAGTGGCTGCAAATGAGGCAGCCAAACCTCCTCATTGGAATGCCTCTGGACAAACTATTATATGGACCTACTGGATGTGGAGAGAAATAATGTAGGTTCATAATGGTTGTTAAATGGGCATTATACACTGAGGTGTCACCTATATGTATATTACCGAATTCTCAAAAACTGCCACATGCAAAAGATGTGAACAGGAGGAATCGTCCTACAATATACTCTATCAATGACCAGCACTGGGTCGACAAAGATTAGTGATATTCAGTTCTACATTTCTAGATCCAGCACACATTAGGAGGGTCTCAGTCAATCGTTCCGACAGTATCAGTGTGGTCATGGTTCTTTGAAGGACCCTAACATGATCAAGAGCACACAATGTGTCCAGTAATGATCCACGTGCCTGGGGCAACTTAAGTTATCCCGCCAAGATCAATGCCAATACTAAACACGGCTTACCTGCAGGAGGAGCATTTGTTCCTGCAGTCTGGCAGCTGCTTCATGCTTTCCTGCAGACGTGTATGTCAGCACCTGCTCTTTCATTTCCTTCAGTGTGCTTTCCTGGGTTTCAAATTCTTCAACAAGTCTCTGTACATATCACAGGAAAGCAATATATAACTCTTATAACATATTTACACAAATACATTTCATATATATTGGTACAAATGATGGACTGAACAGTTTATAAGGACACAAGCATCTCTCCTTATGCATAACTCATATTAAGCTTATGTATATAAGAAGTGTATACTTAGGAAACTAAAACTGTCTAAACTGTGAAGTCTGAAGGTTTCTGGTGATGGTGCATTATAATGCGTAAAATTATTTTTTTGGACTTTGTCCTTCGCCTAAATTATACAATAATAAAATCACAACATTTCAGAAACTGGATTCTACTTCCATCTTCAGGCAGAAGGGGGGAAGAGAGCAGAAGCTCTATCTGTTGGGTCCCATGGTCGACCTAGCCTAATAGATAGGGTTCTGTCCTGTAACCACTTTTTTACCTGAAGAAAGCAACAAAATTGAACTTCTGAAACACTGTGATTTTATAATTTAGACAATGGACAAAGTGCAAAAAAAAAATTCCATGCCGGAGTTAAGGTTCTCATGACAGTGAGTATGAAGATGGCTGTCTTCTGGATTGCACTCAGAGGTCCTTGCTGACTCCATCATCAGAGCAATGACTGCCCTGAAACACCAGTAAACTTCTACCAGACTACATGTGCTACAACCCAGAAGACAGCCATCTTCATAATTTTACAGACTGCCTAAAATGTTTAGTTAATAAGCATTTCTTCCAGCAAAGTGCAATCTGACTGTGCATTTTTTGTACTATTCAACAGCCAGCATATGACCAGTCTAAAAGGGCCATGAATATGAAAGGCAAGACAGAGAAGGAAACAACCTCCAAACAACATTCAAACATATATGGATGTTAAAAAACACATAACCAAGTGCAAACCAAAACCAAATAGCAAACAGATATCCAAGAATGGTCCAAGCTAAAACAAGAATTATATAAAAAGGAAAGTAAAGATGTCCCACTAAACGCCATGTAGGTGCTTGCGGGGGAGAGGAGGTATTGCTCCTACTCATTCTTAACCTCAGCACTATGTGGGGGTGAGTGGTTAGCGTCACTCCCCGGCCACACTTCACCCTCGGGAAAGGACCCTGGTACCCACTGGATAGGAGGCCAGGTAAGCCCCAGAGCCAGTATAGACGCAGAGGCTAGAGAAAAAATCCTCTGCCCCCATCGAGGAACAAACCCCGGTCGTCTAGTCCATAGCCAATCACTATACTGACTGAGCTACCCTGTATCTATATATCTAGTGTAATGTAATTTCTCTTACAAAGTTTAAAGGTTGCTGTGTAAGCGAGTGGAAATGTATATGGAGTCTGAAAGACTAAATATAATTAATTCATCAACACAAATTACAGGACAGAATTTAGCAATTAGTAAAACTTTTACTAGTGAATACCATAACATACTGATAAGTGTAAAAGTTTCAGCCTATAGTTAATATCACGGCTGTACACACAGCCACACTGTTCACATTCTTGCAGTTTAACAGCTTTCAGTAGAAGGACAAACATGTTTGGTACTGGTGAACACTTTTAATTACAACTAATACTTTTGCTGCAATGTCAACGACAATTAAAAAAACTGGCACAAGAACAAATATAAATAAAAGCTTTCTTACTCAGACTGGTGAATAAATTGATACATATCAGAGACATGAATACTGAGACCATTCTTCTGATCATGTCGACAAAGTATAGAGTGTGGCAACACACACCTGATCATCATCCGGCAAATCGTCGGCGGTGAGGTCGTTTTCAACACGTGCTGTTAGTAGTGCGTCTACATGAGTTACCCATTCCTGGAACTCTAGGATATGGCTTTCCGACTCCTGAGCCTCCTGGACAGAGTCCTCAAGCAATACGGTACGATCCCTAGCCTACAAAGCAAGATGCAATCAAGCCATGGCCAGTGCACGCCTTTCAAATTCCAATGCAATGCCAAATGTAGCACGACTTTCAATAAAAGATAATCATCACAAGGCACAGTAAGTGTGATCCCAAAATCCTAACAAGCTGTCATTTTATACTAAAACACATAAGCTCCATTAGTCCCTCATGCTATTATCATGAAAGAAAAAAGTAACCATATTTATTCCTCTGTTAATTTAAGAATGCTTTGTCATTTTCGAGGAATACTTATCATAAACTGGCAGGATCATTGTAAATTATAAATTGTAAAGAATACAGCAATACCCAGAGATACTGAGGAAAATAATAAAAACTGAAAAGTTAGGGTAAGCAGTTTGGATCAGATTTGAATCCTAAGACTTTAAGATTCAATGCAAGAGTAACAACCACTTTAGTAATCTCTGATAAAAAAAACCTTTTGCAATTCTTCAGAAAATGTTTCTCTCGCCTAAAATTTGTAGTCTTTATAAATTCAAGTATGCCACACCAACACAGGAAACCCACTAATCCCTTCCTCACTTTATCTATCAAGAAACATTTTTCATCATATTGGTCTTCTTTTTCTTCTTATTATTCTAGCACTGTTTCCATTTTTGCAGGTTTATGTCATCACTTTAATATTTGTAGTAACAGGCACAATAAATCTGTAATTTCAAACTCCCAAACAAAGAAGCAAAAATAATCTAGTCTTATTGCTGGTTTGTCTTAATCTCATGACTCACACAAAATCATGTATCATAAATGATGACTGCTCTCTTGAATTGGGATCACACAGTACTGCTGAATTTAATTAAATGCAAAGAAATCTCACAAGCAAGGAAATATTGTAAATCTAAAGAAAAGAAGAATTAAAAATGTACCCATCTATTCATGTTCAGAACAAGCAAAATCACGTATGACAATGCAAGCTGAACATTCAGGTGTCAAGAGAATGGGCAAAGCAATAAAAAACTATTGTTCAATAATCTTAAAACTTTGCATACCGTGTAGTGTATTAGAATATAAAATAAGCAAACAAACAAACTATAAACACTATAAAACACTATAAAAAAGACACTAGTGTCTTTTTTATAGTGTAATAGTTTGTTTGTTTGCTTATTTTATATTGTTCAATAACATTTCCTCCTCCAGAATAGTAATGGATGTAAGAACCTTGTAAAAAAATTGCAGATATATGTATGTATTGCATGTATACATCAATTCAGAAACTATTGCTTATAAGTAATAGAATCTGAAGGTATGTTAGAATTCTCAAAATGTTAATATAAACATTACATCCATAAGCAGAGTTATTGCAATATTGATTCATGCAGTTACTAACATTATTAAGCTCATGCCACAATGTGATGTGATGTACAAATTGCCACATACAAAACAATGTTAATTGCAAGAAACAAAGCCACATAATCACAAATTCTGAGATCTAGATCACTGTGGTTCCATTGATCATCATAATTCTAAAGAATTCTGAAACTGTTGAGCTGCAATAAGCTCAACTGTTATTTTGAACAATCTATCAACTTAGTTATTTGTTAAAAAAAACATGGAACATTTTGGAGACTGGCTCTGTCTCCATTATCTGGTAAAGAGAAGAGTGAACAGTGCCTACTCTAGTAAGTCCCTTAGATAGAGCTAGTCTCCATCTCTGAACACTTACTAAAGTTAAAGCCAAGTAATATGCACTCAGCATTAAATATAATCTGTGGGGAAATAATATGTAAAAAATTGCTGAAGAAACAATGATTCACGGAATAAGAATCCCCTTGTAATCACATACAAAAACCTTCAAATCAACACTAAACACAACCTTCAAGCTTAAAAACCATCCAGTTATCAGCAATGATCATATGACAGACTCTCAGGTAAAACAAGCAAAACACACCACAGAATCTGTGGTGATGAAATCTGAAGGAATAATCTTGGAATGGCCGCAATGCTGGAATGTTAGTTTGAACCAAAAACCTTGTACCCTGCTAATCTCCTTGTTTATGAGGGGGGTCCACAAATAATCAAGATGACAGATATGTCAAAAATAGCAGATGAGCTTACTGATCATGTTTCTCAATCACGGTTTACCTGTATGAATCAGATCACTGCAACCAATGACAGACTTTACACTGACATATATCAAAAACTGTTTGAATTATATTAGTAACTCATTATATGAACAGAATGGTTGCTTTCACATAAAACAAAATTGTAAATATTTAAAACTATATGTTCTACAATATTTTTACATTTCCCGCAAGAATACAAGTGCTTTGTTAATTATTCAGTTAAGAAACATGCTCATGAATCACTAATTTTCAGACACAATTCAGAATATGGTATAGCCAGAAATTCATTCCTTTCATTGACCTATACATCCCAAATTGCAAGCCTTCACCAACATATTTTAGTCAGTATTACAGTTTTAATTTTATGCAAATTAAAAATGTAAATGTAAGTTAAGTTTTGTTTTAGTATATATTGCACTGCTTTAAATAATGTAAGTGAACATAAGCTGCACAAATAACAAATTAAATGCAACCAATTGTAGTATAACTCCTTTGTGGCATACATACATATTTTGATTTAATATTCAGATAGGCCTGTCTTTCGCAGTGACTAAATTCTATAAAGTCTTCTTGGGTAATCAGATGGTCACAAAAAAAACTGGTATTTCAGGAACCGTCTTTGTCTTCATCATGAGGGACCTATGTCTCATTTAAAATTAAATGAAGAACACATCCCCATTTGTTTCTTTATGGGTGAAAACATTTAGATGTCATATTAAGCATCTGCTTAGAGAGTAACAAAAGGTTTCATCTTTGATGAGCTGTGATATGTCATAACAAACTTCAGCGTTCTTATACCACAAACTGTTGTTAAAAACAATGCAGTTTGTTTCAAGTGACAATAATACACACTGATTTAAGCAGACTTCCGCATTCCCTTTCAATTTTCACTATTTTAATTATATTGTATCAACTATATAGACTCGATGAGTTTGAGCATAAGGAATGTTATGTACGGTGAACTGGAAAGAGAGTAAAAGAAATCAACTGTGACATATTTCAATAAAACTGCTATCTCACTCTTCACTGGAATGATGAGAAAACCTCAGTCTGGACACCTATAACCAACTTCAGGATGAAGATTCCTGTCTTCTGGATTGTTGCGCTGTGTAGTCTGGCTAATATCAAACAGACTACACAGCGCAACAACCCAGAAGAGAGGAATCTTCATACTCACTGCTGTGAAAACCTCAAATCTTACAACTTCAGGATGTGAGCCACATATAGTGGTATAAATTTTTCCTATTAATTATAGTTAATACATTCATTCCTCACTTTTTTAAGGCAGATATTCCTTTTTTACTGCTACATATGTAAAAATGAATTTCACACTCATTTAGAGAAAAATTATTATTGATATGGTAACATGATACATTCATACTGAATAAAACCTACAAGTAAATATGTAGTACATACACATTTAATAAAATGAATACTGCTAATTAATTTGAAAAGAATGATTCTAATTAAAACAAATGATATTAACAAAAAAATTGTTATTCTTTAACCCTCTGCTCCTCAGACAGTAAAAGAAGAAAAACACAGTGAAATCTCACCTGTAATTTTAAACTGGGTTTAAGGCACCACAAACTACTGTTTAAAATGTTTTAAAAATAAATTAAAATGGTGGCATTTGACATCAATATATGACGATTCACTTATGGGTACAAGTCGATTGTTGAGGTACCAACTGAGAAGCTACTATGTACCACAGTTTGAAGAAGCTACAGAATGAAATCCGCTTAACTTGTTATTTCTGTTTCATAGAGATCCTTGTAACAGCAAAGAGCATTCTCAGATTTTTTTGTTCAATATTTTGACCACCTTCTTTGAAAATCTACAGCCCACTGAATTAATGTAAAAACTTGTGACAAGCTTTACAGCAAGATATTTTATCATCAAGTTTCAAAACCAATGTATTCAGTTTTCTGTGTGGCCATCTGTTACTCAGTTACGAGGTATTAATTTGCCAGATCCTCAATGCTTAAATCCAAACTTATACAAAACGTTGTGCCACTTTGGTTCAGAGAACTTTATTTCAAGGTAACCATCAGAATTCCCTCCCACGGAAAGACAGTCTGAATATTGTTCAGTCTCCTGCTGGACAGAGGTGCAAGTGGGATACTACAAGATCCAGTCCTTATTTCAGCTGTTCAGAAAAAAATAAGCGTATAAAAAGAAAGAAAGAAATAAAGCCTTCTAATCTCAAGCCAAGCAAGTTGGCTTAAGTGGAGTTCAAGAGGTGCACAATTTGAATTTTGACCACGGCACAAAATATCATGAGGATTTTCACGGTTTCCTTCTTTCATTCCAGGTAAATGATTGGATAATACCTTGAAATAAACCATGGCTACTTCCTCCCCATTCCTTTCAAGCTCACTGATGTCACAAAACAGATGATATATTGTTTATATGTAATACTTGTACAGACAGAGCCCAGTCAAAGATATGGTCCACATTAGAAATCTTAAGAAGACAGACACTGTCAACAAAAATTTATCTTATAAGACAAGGAGAAAATTATGACAGGCTGTGAAAAATGATGATGCCAAAGATGCACATGCTAAATAGAACATCCAGCTGAATGCTTAGCAGTGGACAAGGACTTTCAAAAATACAGATATACACAGATTCAGATAATACACAGGACAGGAACAAAAAACAGTTATGGATACAGATCTAAAATTTGCAACCCAAATGGACATTTGTAAAACATGAACGTTAACAAAGACAACTGTAGGTGCAACAAAGATGTTCATCATTTGTATAGGGTATGGATAATTTATTATCCTCTCCTGACTGGGGAGACATTTAGACAGAGCAAGGTATTGTATCACCTGTCTGGAAAGAGTAGTAAACTATAGCATGTCCTACAGTACTTCAGTATGATACAGCTTGTTTTTATGATATATACAACTCCTCAAAAAGTTTATATCTTAACTGCGTCATGTTTGTGTTTAATCAATATAATAATTCATTCACCGTCCATACACAAACTTAAAATGTTGTTAAAATTTACTTAAAATTACATAAAATTACAACATTTTTTAGAATTAGATCTTGATACATTTCACATTTGACGACATGTTTCGGTGTATTACACCATCATCAGGTCAATCAATTTAAAAACTGTTTTAAAAGCTGTTGTACATCCTGCTCCGCGTATATTGATACGTTTGACTGTTTTGATTTCTTCCTTTTAATGCTTGGATGTTTATATC